TCCAGAACAATGGCCTCGAGCTCCGCTATGGTCAGTGGAGCCGTCTTGGCTTCCACTAACTCCTGTTTGAGTGGATCCCATTGCTTGTATTTCCATTGCCCGGCTTCCGTGCACCATCCCGCCTGAAGGGCGTCCTGTTGAATAGCCTCCTCGGCCACGGTCTTTTTCATTCTTGCCACCAACTCCTCCAGGATGCATGTCATCATGAGTGTGGGGAGCGGGCTTGTGATCAGGTGCGGGGAGTTCTCCTTTAAGTTCTTCCATTCCGTGCTGACTTTGAACATCGTCGGCAGAATGCCGCCTGGCTCCGTGCTGACGAACCATGTAAAGCCACAGTCCTGAAGCAGAACCTGTTGCGCATCCGCTAGCTTTAAAGTGAGCTTGGCCGTGGCTTCGATCACCTTCCGAAGATCGTGGCTTTGGTCCTGATCGTCCCGCTGCTCCCGTTTGGGTGGATACCTGGGACCCTTGCCCCGACCCTTTGGGCCGCGGGGCGGCTGGTCCATCCTGGCTCGCTTGTTGGGCCCCATCTGTTGGTCCTGCTTCTTGTCCAGCGCTGACGGCATCTCCGCGGCCCCTGATTGCATCATCTGGCTCCCCAGTGGCAGTAAGTGCTGAAACAAGCTCAGCTCTGCTGCGTTGGCCATCGGAGGAAACCAATGAGATGAGGATCGACTGAAAAATCACTGGACACGCAACCACATGTGATTTAGGATCTTTGGAGGCAGACCCACACAATTGACATGGTACACGTATATCGGCCACCTGTGATTTGCTGAGGGTCTCAACTCTGTGTTTATGTAAATTCCACACTTTGCGGTGGGACTTAGCAAGATGCATCTTGACCGCACGGTTGGACGCACACCACGTCCCACACAGGCAACACCACTGAGCAAGCTTGGGCCGCCACTGTGAATCAGAGGCAAGCTTGCGCCATCCGTGCTGTTGTATCAGAGCAAGAACTCCAGGCTGCAGGACCAAAGGCGAATCTGCTGACACCTCGTCTTTTGTCACCTCGGCCGATTGCGGAGCAGTCAGCCCCGAAGATGATGGGATCCCTGCAGGAGGCTCCGCTACGGCTGGTGTTGAGGATGCAAGCACTGTGTCTCCGATAGGCGTGGGACAGGCCCCGTGCTCAATGTGTTTTTGTAGCCGAGCCCATGAGCTGAACAAGACACGGCATCCTGAGCACCTAGGCATACCGTCAATGGAGTGCCTCAGTCGGCTGAACACCGGCTTACTGGTCGGCGCATGGCTCATAGACATATGCGAACCCAAGGCTGTTTGAGTAGAGAACTCCAGATTGCATTGAGGGCATTGTAGTCGCGTCCGACCAGCTTGACTCTCCAGCTGCAGCTGCTCACTCAGATGGTGAAGAACCTGCCGTCGCCATACACCAATGCCCGCGAGAGCCTTAACGGGGATGGGATGATCACTTTGGTGATTGGCTTGCCACCGTCCGAGAAGGCCCTGCATGCGTTGCAAAAGGTAAGCCCCAGGCTCCTCAACACCAAGCCGGGTCAAGAGATCCTGATTGCTGAGATGCGTTATATGAGCAGGCAGCCGCGCAATAGCCCGGAGCTGCTTTTGCACCAAGACCCGCACCTGCTGAAGGCCGTTGATAGTGACGCCACTGGAGTCTAGCGCGTAGTACAGGCAAGTACCTACGCATGAGGACCATAATCCCACTCTGGACGCCAAGGAAAGGTTGCTTCTGCTGGTAAGGATGCGGCGCAGTCGGCCGTATGCCGCTCTGGCCGTAGTCACCCGATGGTGCACTGTAGCGCCCTCGAAGCTGCCGTATGTGATTTGTGCGCCAAGGTATCTGGCCTTGTCGCACACGGGGAGAAAGCGTTGCTTCCACAGAGCTGCGAGGCGGATGTGGCGGCCGCCTTGGCGCTCTTCAACCAGATCCCGGTAGATCTGCTTCGCCTGGCTGCCACTCAGTTTGAGCAAGACCTGGGTTTTAGCATCGTTGATGTTGAGGCCTGCTTCGGTAAGTGTCACCAACAGCTGTTCGGCTCTACCCATGGCCTCAAAAAGGCCCGCTCGGGATGTGAAGATGGCATGGTAAAACGTGTCGTCAGCATAATAGTCTAGAGTTCTGTCCATGTCCTCACCGAAGGCCTGTCGTAGTTTGTCATGCAGCCTAGCCACGACCAAAATGTACAATAACGGTGAAAGTACACAGCCTTGACTCACCCCCCGGCAAACATCAACTGCAATGGTACCGTTGTCTCCCTGCACATGATATTGAGCACCTGTGATCCAGTGAACTGCCGAAGATTGTCGGGAACTGCTGCTGCCTGGAGGGCCAGGTTGATTTCGGTGTGAGGGATGGTATCGAAAGCCTTCGAGATATCTAAGGCTATGGCAAGGCCTCCCACGACCTCGCAACATTTGGCCCCGTCCCGTCGGCGGTTGATGTTTGCCGTCTGAGTTTTGCATAAGGCTCGGACTTCATCGCAATGTTGGAAGGCGTTGGCCAATGCATCCGAGGCCTCACGTCCAGGGAGAAACCCCCACTGTGGCGTATGCCTCATGTACTGCTCCGCGTAAGGAAGGATCTTCTGGCGCAGTGCACGCAGCAGGGCCTGCCCAATGGGATGAGATAAGCCAATTGGACGTAGATCGGCCGGTCCCTTGCAGACCTTGCCAGGCTTAGGTATCATGATCAACCATGCGTCTTTGAAGGACTGTGGGATGAAAGGAGTGCGCCCACACCACCAGTCGCGGAGGAAATCGGCAATGATGGGGGCTAACTGCGGCGCGGCGTGTTTGTACACCACGTTGAGCGCAAGGTGGCTGGGCCCAGCCTTGCGAGCCGGTATGGCACGTAAACCTTCCAGGATTTCGTGGGCCTCCAGGACCTGGCACGATCCATGTTGAAGCATAAGCGGGTCCTGGACGGTTTGACCTTCGTAAAGACGACGCAAATACTGCGCAGTGACCTCTGCCTCCTGCGAGGTGTCCAGGAGAAGGCCCTCCGCATTGCGCATTTGTGGTTTCCCTCTGGACTTTTTAGGAGCTAGTCGATCCACAAGTTTAAAAACCCCAGTAATGTTGCGACTCTGAGCTTGATACCTGGCGTCATTGAGGATACCAAGGAGCTGTTGTCGTCGGAGTCCCCGACAGTGTTTGCGAGTGGATTTGATGAGTACATTGAACTTGTGAAGATGCCGCCATGCTTGAAAAAGACTGCCTAGGCTCTTTCGCCTGTTGGACCGAGCCAGTCGCAGGTGTGTCTAGGCCTGTCGAAGACACATGCGGAGCTCCGCGTTTTGCCAAGGTCGCTGAAGCCTTGCCTGTTGGTACGTGCTGGCGTTCGATCGGCCTGCGGTCGAGTTGTAACTCCACTTTTGATGCCTTTGATCCCCGTCACGGGGGGCAGCACGTCGCAGGGATTAGGGTTCTAGGGGGTTCGGGCCAGGGGGTTCGGGTCTTACCGAGGGGCACACGACACGCAGGGCGGATGCAGGGCAGCCTAGTAGGGATTAGGGTTCTAGGGGGTTCGGGCCAGGAGGTTCGGGTCTTAGGGCAACCGAGGGGCACACGACTCGCAGGGCACTCGCAGGGCCGCCTAGTAGGGATTAGGGTGCTAGGGGTTCGGGTCCAGCGGGGTTCGGGGCTTAGGGTGACCGTGGGCTGCACCAACCTGGAAGATGCCGAATCGACCTGCGTCCAGGGCGGGCTCACAGCACTGCCTTGAGCTGCCCCCCTTAGGGAATTGGGAAGATTTGCCCGAATTTCATGGTAAGGTATTGCAGCTCCAAGTCGATGTCTACGTGTGGACTGGCATGAAGCGCCCGCACCGCGTCGTCCACAAAGACTCTGGCCTGGTGGAAGCCCTGGTTTCTTTGGACTCGATCCGCATGTGCTTCGAGCTGGGTCCTTTGTCGCCCCGCGAGGCGGTGGAATGTGATGTTCATGATATCCATGTTCCGCTCCTCATCCTCGGACCCGGAGATGTATCCCCACCAGACACGTCCCCGCAAGACGTACTGGGGGTGGGCCTCCAAGCTCCGGATGCGGCGCCGGACGAAGCTCTGGGTTAGCACGCCCACATAGAAACGCCTGCGCGCAAGCTCGTGACGCAAGCACTCTCGGAGGCCTCGGCTGCACGTAGCCAGCCGTCCACCGCTCTCTAGTCCAGCCGCAGCCTCGTCCAGCTCCCCGGTCACAGCATCCACGTACTCGAGGATCAGTTTCCATGTAGGATCTGGAAGGTTGATCGCCACCCGGTCGGCCCCGTCCTCGACCCGCCGCCGCTTCACCAGCCTGTTGAAAAGGCCGCGCGCGGTGCGATCCATCATCTGAAGGGGCATGATGCGGAAGGCTCGGCTCAGGCTCGAGAGGCAAAACTAGTGCAGAAGCGCGGCGTCAAAGCGAGCTAAGCTTGACACGCAGCCTGACAAAACGGACAGTGCCCGGCCTGGCCGGGCGAGTCCAGAGTCAGGACCTGCCATGGAGTCGAAGCCGAGCCGGCAAGCACTTCTCCCAGCAAGACGTGCAAACAACTGCGGTCCTCGGCTTAGCCGCATGCCATCCTACGAGCAACGAGGCAAGGCAGGGGGGAGGCCTCGTTCAGCACCCGGACCTGAGCAGCTCAAACAACGTGACGTGCACAACGCGCTCAAAGGAACTGCGGAAGGTTTTCACAGCCCTAAGCCGGCCGGTATTTAAGTTCTCGGTGCATGTAGAGCATCGGGAACACCTCCCAACCAGAGGTTCTGTACTGTACAGCGGGAGCTCGCGAGCCTGAAACTGTACCTGCTGCACGCAGGGGAAAACTCGCGCCTGCTCGAAACACCTCTGCAGCTTCCAAAAGCCTCTTGCCCTGAAGGGAGCACCGCAAAGGATTAAAAGCCCGTGGAAAAGCCTTCATAGCTGCGGGCGGGGTGAGGTAGCTGCTGCCATCTGGCAGAAGGCACGTGATCTTTTGCGAACGGTGTCCCTTCCGCGGCAACAGCCCCTCCTATGCACAAGCCTAAATTCAGAAGCTACAGAATGGGAGCGAACGGATCCCGGGTTGCGAACTCTGGCTTCAGGCGGAGAGCTCCGCGGGGACCGAGGGCGATGTTCTTGCTGCAGGCCGCATGTCGCTTGATGTTGGCCCGGGTCAACGCCATGTTCACCTTGGACGTCTCACTCGGCCCATAGCCCAGGAACTCGCGGCAGACCTCCTTGATGGTGGACCACGGGGTGCCTTCTTGGTACACCTGGACGATCTCGCAGCAGCTCTCGACGAAGTCCGATGCGGTCCGCTGTGGGTTGGATCTGGCAAACTCGGCCTGGATGTCGCGCATCTCGACGGGCATGGGCAGCAACATCGTGCCAGGGTTGTAGCGCTCCTTTTGAGGCTGCCGTAGAGGCCCATGGCGAAGTAGAGGAGCTCGCTGTTGAACGCGCCGCTCTGGATCCGGCCCTTCAGAGTGTCGTCCCCCTTTCTCTCGCAAGGGCCCGTTGGGTTCGCGACGAAGCGATGCTGTGTCTCCCAGACTCTTGCCCTTCGGGTCCATCCATCGTCCTCGGAGTCCTGCACGCGGGGCGCGTGGTTCGAAGTGCAGAAAAGAAGGCCCTGGGGGCGCCAGCTGCGCGGGCCGCGATTCAAGGCCCTGCCTGCGATCGGAGCACCTTCTTGCTCGCAGTAGCCCTTCAAAAACCCCTCGTTGAGGTTGTCGTGGGCCGGGATCTCGGAAGCCCAGACCCCCCTCTTGCCCTGGAGCTGATCCTGGAAGGGCGTCGCCGCGTGGGCCTCGGCAGCTCGGCAAGCCGTCACGAATTGGCCCGGGAGGATCGCCCCGTAGTTGAAGCTCTCGTGCCCCAGGAACGTCATCAGCGGGAGGTAGATGACATCCTTGCCGCTGCTGCCGCAGCCGTACATCCACAGCAGCTCGCAGATGCGGGCATACCCACTGAGGGCCCGGTAGTTCTTGAGCATCCTGAGCCAGCCACTGTGCTGATGGAGAGACTCCAGGTCCGCGATCACCCGACGGCCCTCCTCGTTCTCCTCCAGCTCGCTGGCGCCCGTCTCCAGGAAGGCCTCGACGAAGGCAGTGTCGATCGGAGGCTTCCAATCCTGTCGCGGGGGAGGGCCCGCCGAATTTCGCCGGTCTCGAAGTCTGCAATGATGCCGTCGGCGAGCAGTATCTTGCCACGACTGTGGTCGCCGTTCAATGGCTTCTGCAGACGGCCGCTCAGGCCAGCCAGCACCGCCTGGGTCAAGGAGTTCGCGAAGCCCAGGTCGTTCAAGGGCTCGGGCGGGGTCTCCCGGTTGCCGTAGAGCCGCTTCAAACAGCTCCGACTCAAGTAGCCCAAGTGCTCCTTCTTGGCCTCCACCCACACGCAGTCCGGCCCAAAGTACTCGTAGGTGTCCGTCTTCTCGTGCGGCTGGTTCGGCACGTAGATGATCGGCTCCAGCATGGCCACGAGGAGGTCGGCGAAGTCGCCGTTGTTGGGCCGAGCTCGGCCTCGGCGCACGTTGTCCTTGCAGCGCTGCCGGAGCTTCTGGTAGTCGCCGTAGGGCAGCTTCGCCTCGAGCTTCCAGTCGAAGTCGGGATGCTCAGCGGCAGCACACTCGACGGCATTCGGGACCGGCTTGGCGGCCACCCGAACTCCGAGATCAGCCGCAGCCTGCAAGACACGGTCCTTGGCCTCCGAAAGAGCGCACACGCCATCGTGCTCCAAGGCCAGCAAGGATGCGCCGGCAGCGGCCGCCATGCTCTGCAGGACCTTGCGCTCCCAGTCCGCGTAGGCAAAGAAAGCGACGCGGCCCCCACTGCCCCCTTCCAACCAAGCACGGCTCTCCTCGGGCAGGTTGCGCCAGATGAGCCGATGCGCTCGAACCTCGCCCTCCAAGCCATGGATCCGGGCCACCTCCGGGATGTCCGTCTCATCGAAGACCGCGCTCAGGGTGCGAGAGCTCCAGTTGGCAAAGCTGCCGCCGAAGCCTATGCTGATCAGCAACCGCTTCAGGTCGCAGCGGGGCACCGGCTTCGGGCAGTCCGGGCACGCTCGAAACCCCGCTTCGAGCTGTGCTAACCAGCTCTCCCGGTCCTGGACGTAACTCGAAAGGAATGGGCAGTCCTCGCCCACCATGACGACTTTCGCCAGCCATTGGTAAAAGCTGTTGACGACGTCGATTTCGAGGGCGTCGAGGCCTTGGCGGGCCATGCACCGAGTGAGCCTGCCGCAGCTGAAAGCGCTTCGCCCAACGAAGTGCTCCGGAACATGTGCTGCAAGCTCGCGCTGCAGCTCCTTCGGGAGCTTGGAGATCGCCTCGTCTCTCTTCGCGACCGCCGCCTCCAGCTCGTCCTGGTTCTTCTTGCGCTTGCCGTCTTGCTCGGGAAGCGCCGGGAGCTTGCCGATGCCGGAGTAGATGCGGGGCCGGAGGCCGGGCGGGCCTTGACCCTCCCGTTCGAGCACCGGCACGTAGCCCACCTTGCCGCGAATCCTGACGGCCCTCTGTCGAAGCCAGTAGAGCTCCTCAAACATGTCGAAGGCATCCGCACGCCTCGTGCCGTCCAAGGCCAGCGCGCGATCAAGCCCCGCCACGGACACGGCCTCCCAACGAAGCCAGCAGCCTTCGAAGTGCAAGTCCGCCGGGGCCGAGCCGAAGGGGCTCTCGCCGTGCATGTCGGGGTCCTGACGGCAAGCACAACGAACCGGGCACCCGGTTCCAGGCGCAGAACCGCGCCTCGTGGTCCATGAAGCCAGTGTCCTGCGAGGTGCAACCCGTCGACAAATCCGGTAAAAGAAGGGCGCCGGCCTCGTGGTGCGATGCCGGCGGAGCGCTCGAAGACGATGAGCCAGCAGGAGCCTGGCGGGGGGCATCAAACCCATCAAATGCGTCAAACGCCCAAGCAGGGCCTCGGTCGGAGGAGCATCGGCGCCGGGAGGTGCTGAATCAGAGTCCTGATAGGATTTGATCTATTTGATGCCTTTGATGCGTTTGACCCCCCGGCCTCGGCACTGGAAGGAGAGCCCCTGCTCGGCCCACTCCCCGAATCCTCCTGCAGCCGCAAAAAAAAACGAACGGGTCGTTCAAAAAGGCCCGGGCCCGCCTTCTGCAGGGCATCACGAAGATCCTTCTCGAAGCTATTCAGGGCGCGCAGACGACAGAGCTTCGCCGAACTTTTCCGCAGGGCCGGATTCCATGACACGAACTTCTCCCAAACGGCCAAGAGCACCTTGGTGGCCTCGCTGCTCCGGGTGCTGCTGTCGTTCTTGTCGGGGTGGATCAGTAGCATCATTTGCCGATAACTTTTAGCCACCGACAAATGAGGATACACCCTGACGCCCAGCTTCCAAACGGGGTCCTGCCCTTCCACAGTAGGGGTCAGCGCCATGGTTATGGCCGCTTCCCTCGCAGCCGCCGACATGCTCCGCACCGCTCTGAAAACTAGCAACACTTGAGCGCAAAATGCACTATAAGAAGGGCGCTCGCACGGCAACAGCAAGACTGAACCTCACGGCTTCAACTCTCGGCTCCAGGCGATGCGGTGCCAAGCAGCGACGAACCAGCGAAGAGGACGGACCTGGGAGGGAAGGAAGGGGCCCGGGCCTGGGAAGAGCGAGGAAGGAGCGAGGATTGCAGATTATTTTGCACGAGCTCTACGGGCAGGGATCCAGCATGGACTTTTTTTGCACCCAAGGGCCTGCTGTTCTGTAAGCAGGGCTTAAGAGCGGAAATTGATATCATCAAAAGGGTCCATGTCGTCGTCGGTTCGGAGCCGCTCAGTCTCCTGCATGACCCGATCGTACAGAGCATCCTCTCCAGCCTGCAGCCTCCCAGAAGCGCCGCGCTCGATGACAAAACTGGCTGCTGCGGAAACCCGACTGGCATGCAAGAAGCTCTCGTTCCGGCGAGGGTTGCTCGCTTCGCACAACCATTGGAACCCCTCGAGGCGGTCGTCCGGGTCGCGGTCCAATACTTGAGCGGCGATCCTGCATTGATCGCGAAGCCGCACCGCCTATCTGCTCGCGTACAACCTCCCGGCCCTTTGCAGCTGGATGCGGGCACGCATCAAGACATCGGCCTCCAAGAAGTTCAGCATCACGAGTCGGTAAATGACGTCAGCCCACTGCTCGTAAAGCTGATAGCCATGCCAGCCAGTACTCAGCAGCGGCTCCATATCCTCCACAAAATGCCGATGGTGCGGCCAGTATAAGCCCCACACGAGGAGGAGGACCGTTTGCACGTCAGATGGCATGACCGCAGCACTACGGACACCAAAGGGCTCGAATCAGCAAAGGCTTCGGCAACTGCTTGTAAAGAGGTGCACCTACCCTGCAGGCAACCAAAACCCCTCACACTCAGCCGCGGCTTCAGATGCAAACGTCCAGGGTCCAGGCGAGAGATGAAGAGGCCGCCGCAGCCGATGGCCGTTGACACCTGAGAGCAGCGACGAGGGGCCCGGGGTTTCCGGGACGAGGCGGGCTGCAGGGCACTCTAGTTATGGGCGGGGCGGGGGCAGCAACAGGCACTCCTGCGCGCACTCGGCCACACGACCCCACAGACCTTAAACCCTTCCAAAATCGGAAGAAACCCGGCAGCACTCTGAGGATCGGCGCAGCGCGAAGAAGGTCCAGCCTGGGCGGAGCGAGGGTCCGGGAATGCAAGGCGCTCTAGTTTACGGGAGGGGCAGCGCAGGGCCCTCCTGTGCGCGCACGGACGAGCCCAACAGCCACAAACCCGAAAGAGACCCCAACAAACCCGAAGCAACGACCCTAAAAATCCTGCGAAGCTGAGGCCCAAGCGCTCAGATTCCCGAGGGCCCAGGCACCTGGCGGGACGAGTCGGGTGGGGGGCAGGGGGCTTCAGGGCAACACACACACACACAGAGGCGCGCGCACGAAGGAACACCGAAACCCGCAAAATCCGAACAGACCCTTAACTGCAAACTGAGGCCCAGACAACGAATTGAAGGGAAGGTCAAGTACCTGACAAAGGGCGCTAGGGAACAAAAAAGTTATGGGGGTCTGGAGGTTAGGAGTGCGCCTTCCCCGGTTCGAAAGGGGGAAGCCCTTGCCACCCCACAGGATAAAAGCGTAAGCAAAATGCTGCGGCGCAACAGCCCTGATCAACAAAAAAAATGCGCTGCGTAATGGCAGTACAGGTAGACCAGGTAGACATGTCGCACAAAAACAAAGCACTCGGCACTCACTCAAATATATTGTGTTTCCGATGCTCCGCGCCAAGCTGACTTCCTAGGCATCATCTCCGCTGCGACTCGGTTCCATAGAGTGTTCGATTGCCCGCTTCAAGATGGCCTCCGCTGTCCTGTTAAGACCCAGCCAATCGACCAAATTCCCCCAGCCGGTCTCGAGGCCACGTGCTTCCGACGGAGCTGGGCGACCTGCGGGACGGGTGCTTCTCAGCAACATCCCTCACGATTGCAGTGGTCGCAAGGTTGACTACGTTCTCAGAGGTGTACTTTCGAGCGGACGCGAAGAGATCACGATTGAGCAGGATAGCGTTAGCAAGCTGCTCGGACCGCTTAGCCACAGCTCTTTCGTCAGCCATTGCCCGATGTTGTCGCCTATAGCCTCATGTACTGCTCTGCGCTGCAAGCCGCGGCGCGGTAACAAAGTAAAAAAACAAAGACCAGAAGGCGCTCACTGGGCACTTGCGCGGCACTTGCAGGGCAGCTGGAGTCAAGCCTACTCCGGGGCCGAAGGGGGTTCGGGTGCCCTGGACCAAACCAAAAAAAGAAACACCCCCGGCAAAAGCACTCTAGCAAAATGTTACTGCAAAAGTCGGCGGGCCTAACTAGAATACTGTTACAAAACAAAATGGCATCAGTGAGCAAAAGCGAGCGAGCATCTGTGAGCATCCTAAACCCCCACGGATCAGGTCGGCGATAGCCACAGGCTCGCCGCCAATCGACACTGAGCGGCCGAGGCCACGAAAACTTGAGCCAAACCTAGGGGACGTACCCACCGAAATCGCGCTCCCGCCACAGTCTGGTGTGAAACGGCCCGGCAAAGCCTTTTGGGCCACGCGCGGGCCTTCTCGGGGCTGGCTGTGTCGCTTCTGGCCGGCGGGCCCGGCAGGGTGTGTGAAACCTAGGCAGGGCGCACCCCGAAGATCGGGGCCGCAGCGGTTCCGTGATGTTCGGCGATTCCGTGTGGCTGTGTTCGACCCATCCTAAACCCTCCCCGACCACGTTCCGGGGCTGGCTGGCACCGATTTGACAGGAAAGGGTCGATCCGGCCGAAGACGTGCTCAAACGCTAGGCGGGGGACACACCGAAATCGGGCTCTCGCCGGTGCGTGGTCGGCTCGCAAAACGGGCGGGGCTCGGGGGCCGTCGGGGCGCACCCTCCCCGAGCGGCTTCAAAATCCCGAAAAATTGGGGTGCGGCATGGTGTTTTAGGGCCATGCGCGTTTTTTGTGCTAAATGCCGGCAATGTCGAAATCGCTGCGCCTGAGCATCAAAACCATGAACACAGGTGGGACCTGTGTTGAGCCCTGCGTTGAAAAAGTGGGTGTTGCTTTAATAAAAAAGCATGGAAGCGGCGTGCCGGAACGCCACGGAGGAGCCGACCGAAGCCAATCTCGTGCGGCTGCTGGATCTGTGGTCGGCCGACTGGAAGCACCGGGGCCGCACTCGGGCGGTGGGGCCGGGGGCCTATGAGCGATATGCCACGCTGGGGCTTTTCGGGCACGGCGGCGTGGTCGGGGTTTCCAATGCCACGGGCCTGCGGGCAGCCTGTGCAGCCGTGAACAGCTTTCTCAAGAGCCGCTTTCCGAACGGCACCTGGACGTCCATAGCTGTGCTCTTCAACCCGCGCATGGGGCTGCACCGGGACATTCAGAACATGCCAGGGCACTCGAATCACGCACTTGCTCTGGGCGAGTGCACAGGAGGGCGGGTGTGGATCGAAGATGACGAGGGGGACTCCACGGCATGGCTGGCCGACAAGAAAGGGGAGCGGGAGCTGCGGGGGCGGTGGCTGGACATGCACGACAAGCCGGTGACGCCGGTATCACATGGTGGAGCCACACGAGGGCAGCATGTGGGCGCTCGCTGCTTACGTTCCGCAAGCCTATGCTCGGGCAACGGAGCAGCACCGAGAGGCACTGAGAGAAGCGGGCTTTCCGCTGCCTGCATCATGAGAGCAGCCCGGCATCGAAGCGGGCGAAGCACTGCGGGCCGGGCCGAGGCGAAAGGGCATCAAAAGCATCAAATGCATCAAATGGAGCTTTCGGGGGCTGTTATAGCTTTTTTCTCTCTCTGGGGAGGGTGTTCCAGCTCTCCACTCTGTGATAGCTACAGGCCTCAGTTCGAGACATAGGGTAGAATTCGGTACTTTGGAGCACTGTCGATTCGCGGGCCTACGGCCCGCAGCTCTGACGATCTTAGGGGCTCTAAAGTCTTTGCAAAACGGGCTTTAGAGGAACTTTAAAGGCGCGCAACTCGCCAGCAGCTGACGAGCACTCGCAAGCAACTCACGAGCTACTTGCTGGCAACTTACGAGCACTCGCCAGCCGCGCACAAGCGACTTTCGAACCGCAAACCAGCAGCTTACGAGCTACTTGCTCGCAACTCACGAGCTACTTGCTCGCAACTCACGAGCTACTTGCTCGCAGCTTACGAGCTACTTGCTCGCAACTCACGAGCTACTTGCTCGCAACTCACGAGCTACTTGCTCGCAGCTTACGAGCTACTTGCTCGCAACTCACGAGCTACTTGCTCGCAGCTTACGAGCTACTTGCTCGCAACTCACGAGCTACTTGCTCGCAACTCACGAGCTACTTGCTCGCAACTTACGAGCTACTTGCTGGCAACTTACGAGCACTCGCCAGCAGCTTACGCGCCGCAACCCAGCGACTTTCGAGCCGCAATCCAGCGACTCCGGGTTCGGAGTTGTTACGTCTGGCGTACCAACACTCCGGTCTCCATCCCTCGAGCTGCTCCCACGCCCTCCGCGCCGAACAAGCGCGCGTAAGCGCGCGTCGCTCCCCAAACAGCTCCGGAGCGCCTCCAAGCAGCTCGCGAGTCCCTTCGCGCCCTCAAACTGCTTCCGATGCCGCGCGCGCCCGTTTTGCAAGTACTTTAGAGCCCCTAAGATCTCGCGCCCTACGGGCTCCAGCCTTCAAAATCGACAGGCCTTCGAAGTATGGAATTCTAGGCTATGTCTCGAAACTTGCCTCGTAGCTACTACAGAGTGGAGTGCTGGAACACCCTTCCCAGAGAGAGTAGCCATGTCACAAAACGACGGTCTTCCTCGCCCTTCCATGCTTCCCGACGCAACGCCCTTAAATCAGTTGTAAAACTTGCGTATTGGGCTCACTTCTCTCAAACTGCAACAAGTTCCAGCAAAACTCCTTACCAAGCACAACACTCGGACAGAGAGTGCTGCACTCCACACGCAGTTCCGGTCTTGAGCCAAGTCGCACAAAGTCTTGTAGGAAACTGAGGTGCAACTACCTAAAGGTGGCTTGGAGCTCTTTAAAATAACTTCCCAGGCCAAAAGCACCCTGGCAGTACCAAAACTTCTTAGAACGTCCGAAAACAAGGAAAACCTACAGGACCTACGGCTTTAAGGCGAAAAGAGTCCCTCACACTCCAAGTGCCAGGAAACTAGCCGAGAACTGTTCAGGTTTCTACAGATGAGCCGGACGCCCACCATATCCTCCCAAACTAGAGGAGGGTACATTTACTCCAGGTCAAGCGGATGAAGCCCCGCTTATGGCTGCTTTAAAGTCGATGCTGAGCCGCGATGCTGAGTTGGCTGTTCAAGCTTGTTTTCAGAGCTCTGTACCATGAGGCTTAGTGAAGAGCCCACGGCAAGGAGGCTCACCCAACCCGAGCGAGCTGAGAGGCATGAGAATCAAGTCGCGAAGCTTGTGGGGGTGCTGATCAAGGGCCCTTCGAGCCCAGTGAGGCACTTGTCGACAAGACCGTGTCCGCTTACGAGCAGAATGAACTGAGGTACATTTCTTGGGAATCTCTGTCGACGAACACTCGGGAAAACTCAAGATTGAGAATGAAAAAGCTGAAGACAAGGCTTCCACTGCTTCGGAGTCCATGTGCTTCAGACTCTGCAGAGGCGATCACTTGCTTTGAGTTTACCGAAGCCCGGGATGACACCCCTGGAGTTGTCAGACGTTCGAGTCGTGGCTCTGATATGCCATACCCGAGACGAGAGACCTTCTTCGGTTCCTAGAGGAGCGAGATTTGGAGCTGCTTTCAGCCCAATCTTCCACCTTTCCACTGCAGAGTCGCCACCAGGGAAGTTTTTCTTCCATGGCCAGCGTTGTTTGATGACCGTATTCCAGGGTAAAGGAATTCGACACTGTTGATGTGGGATGGAGCTTGCTTCGCATGGTTGCTAAGTAAGTTGTCGTTTGTTTTTGCCCTGAAGAACCAACACCTGTCAGCATCGAGAGCAAAAGTGTTTCAAGTCGAGTTTTTGAGCAAGTAGAGAGTTTCATGCAGAACGGCATGGTATTTGCATGTTTTGAGCATGTTTGAGCATGTCTGAAGAGTCTTGAGCTTGTTTTGTGCTAACTGCCTCAAGGATGAGACTGCAGTTTGAAAGGATCCTCAAGGGAATCTTTGTGAAGTGCTTGAAGTGCTTAGCAGAAGCACTAGTCTCTGAGGGGCCTGAGTTGGTTGTGCGAGTTTGGTTGCAAGCTGTAGTTCAGAAGTTTTGCTGCAGTGAAAGTGTGAATGAAATGCTTGGCTCAAGCGCGAGTGTGAAAAAGAAGTCGAGTGCAACGCTTCGCTTTGCAGTTTGTCCTGAGCCACTTCGTGAAGTTTGTTTTCCGACTGGGAGAGCTTCGTGAGCTTTTGGTTGCAACTTCAAGGTTTTGAACTTGGTTGTGACGGTCTCGAAGTTTTTCGTGGTAGCGGAGCGTGGCTCCTGGCTACGCTTCAGCAAAGACGTGCTTGGTTGTTGCTTGAGAGAAGCGTGAGTGACAATGGAATGCCTCTTCATCCGTGTCCTTTGCGAGAGGGGTTCCGATCGGGGTGGGGGAACGCCTTCCTCGGACGCCTGCAATTTTCGAGCGGAAATTCAAGCACAGGAAGTACCCCGATGCCGACACTCCGCTTGAAGATGGTCTTCGCGAAAACTATCCCGGGGCTCGTGACAACCCCATACAGCTTGATGAGCAGCTCGCCAAGGAGATGAGCCTGGGGGCGATGATCGCGCTCGACCTGGAGGAGGCCCGGACAAAGCACGGTGATTCCTTATCTGTTGCATCGCTTGGGGCGGTGCCCAAGCCGGACGGCTCTCTGAGGATCGTGCACGACGGCAGCAATGGGCAACATGTCAATGATTGCATCCGTGTTCGAGATGCCCAACGATATCCCACGGGTGCTGATCTTCAGACTGCCGTGGAAATTCTGCCACATGCTTACTTCTCTCTGAGTGGTGACATCAGCAGGGCTCATCGCCTGTACCGCGTACGGGAACAGGACTGGCCACGACAAGCTTGTCGCGGGTCAAACCCAAAGAAGGTGTACTACAACTGCGTGGGGACGTTCGGCATCGCTTCAGCTTCGTACTGGTGGTACAGACTCATGTCGGGACTGGGCAGACTTCTGTACTACTGTCTGCAAGGCGACCCGACGGTTCTCCTGAGCTATGTAGACGACCTCATATGGCTTACCCAGTCCGGAGACGGGCTGATCAAGATCTTGGCGACCATCTTATTGCTTCAGGTGCTGGGGACCCCGTTTGCCTGGCATAAGTTCGCCGGGGGACTTGGGCATGGCTGGATCGGATTCTCGGTGTTCGCTTTCGGGAGGACGATTGGCATCAGCCAGTCAAGGACTGATTGGATCGTCGGCTGGATCCGCAAGACCAGGGCCGACGGCATGGTGCGAGTGGCCGACATGCAGTCCGTGTTGGGCCGCCTTTCATTCGCTTTCACGGTCCTTCCGATGCTGAGACCCTTCCTGGGGCCGCTGTACGCTTGGACCAGTGCTGTATCGCAATGCCACACCCTGCGACTCCCTAAGGCCGTCGACTTGGTTCTGGTTTTTGTGGAGGCGCTGTTGCTAAAGGGTCTCAGGGTGACGAAGGTTGCACAACACTCGTCTGAGGCGGCGCCGGAGCTCTTCAGGACAGACGCTAGAGCAGAGGGGCCGGAGATGCATATTGGCGGATGGTCGTGTGCAGACTCCGACGATCCTCGTCGGTGCCGGTGGTTTGCCGAGCGGATTAAGCCTGAAGACGCTCCTCTCTTCTTTATGGCGGGGGAGTCTTACCGATCCATAGCCTCCCTCGAACTTCTGGCCACCATGGTGGCGGTGTTGCTCTTCGCCCCTACGGGAGCGGGCCCTTCGCGAACAGTCTGTTCAGCGGGGACAGACAACAAGGGCAATTCGCACATTGTCTCGCGTTGGCTCACAACTTCGTTTCCATTGGTGGCCGTCTTGATGGAATTAACTGCTGTGCTCCTTGAGAAGTCGTGCATGCTCGAGCTCACGTGGGCACCACGCCTTCAGAACATGCTGGCTGACTCTCTGACAAACGGGGATTTCAAGCAGAATTCGGGCTACGATTTTCATTTGCCGAATACCAAGGTCTGGTTCTCAGGCCTCTTTTGCAAGCGGGCTCTGCATTGTATGGTGAGATTGCTGAGTGGAAAGAGAAGCGGGCATCCAAAGCCGCAGTCAAGCTTAAGAAAGCTGAACGGTTGCGCGAGAAGGATCCCTGGAAGTGATGTGCCACTGTCACTCGTTGAGAGGGGAGAGTTTCTACGAATCGTGGGGTGCAGTTGGCACAACACCTTAACGACGGAGCATTGCATCGGCTATGCTCCTCTCCTTCCTTCCTCTTTCGTGCACTCTTTCGACAGTCGTTGCACAGCAGCGTGAAAACATGTGGAGCCCGCGCATTGCAATCAGTCATGTTGCTCGCTTCTTGCCAGTGCGAACGGTCTCATGTCAGAGTTTTCCGAATCAAACTTTTGTAATCTTTTATGCAATATCAAATTGCATTTGGGCGGGAACTTGTGGGCGGGTAGTTATGTTGGTAATCTCGTGAGGTGGACTTGTCCATCAGAATGAGATTTTGAAACATAACTTGCTCACATTTTCATGTGCCAATATCGAAAATGCTTTCCATTTGTTGAGTCGAGTTTCGACTCTTTTATGGATTGATTTTCATGTCACACGGTGATTTGTTTTACATGAGTTTCTTCATGTGCAATTCTTGTTCCCTCCTGCTGGAGGAACAGATGACAATCAATATTCGTCCGAACCTTTGGGCTCGGCTCTGCGGAGTCCAAAAGGGGAGGGGGGGACTCATTTGTGTACCCACCCGCCCAGCCCTGTTTTGGAGGGGGAGAGTTTCTACGAATCGTGGGGTGCAGTTGGCACAACACGTGAACGACGGAGCATTGCATCGGCTATGCTCCTCTCCTTCCTTCCTCTTTCGTGCACTCTTTCGACAGTCGTTGCACAGCAGCGTGAAAACATGTGGAGCCCGCGCATTGCAATCAGTCATGTTGCTCGCTTCTTGCCAGTGCGAACGGTCTCATGTCAGAGTTTTCCGAATCAAACTTTTGTAATCTTTTATGCAATATCAAATTGCATTTGGGCGGGAACTTGTGGGCGGGTAGTTATGTTGGTAATCTCCCTTGATTACCATCACCACCACATGTGGGTTGAGCGCCTTCTTGCGGCGCGCCTCGACGCCCCTCCGTCGACGCACATGCAGCCCACGCTTGATCAGTGTCAACAGGCTGACAGAAAGCTTTGGCAGCTTCTCGGAGAAGCAACGCGCTCGGGCATCCAGCTCAAAGCTGGAGGGCGTCCATTGGACGCCATCTTCGAAAGCACGTGGCAGACGCCAGAGGTTCTTCATCTGCTCCAGCCGATGCCTCGGGCAGCAGGAGCTCCGGCTTCGCAGCAAGTGGCGCCACCGCCCAAGCCGCACGGGCCAGGCCCGTATGATCGTCCAGGCAAGGGCCGAAAGGGCACAGGGAAGGGTGCCAAGGGCACCAAAGGCGGTGGGAAAGTCCCTGCCGCTCTGGCAGGCTGCAGATCCTGCACGAATGCTGGTGAAAACATATGTTATGGCTATGGGCTCAAAACGTGCAGGGAAACCGTGACTCGCGGTCGATGCGTGCGAGGATTGCACATCTGCGCATGGCCGCGGTGCGGCAAATCGCATCCCGCATTGGACTGTCCGATGCGTGCTGAGGCTCTGAGCCAAAAGCAAGAGTGACAGTCAGAATGCGAGCCCGGCAGCTCGCAGAGCTCGACTCCGAGTCGTGAAAGCCCAGGCTTAGCTGGGCAAAATTTTGCACCGCCGCAGGTCCCGCCTGTGCCGAAAAATTCTTCTTCAGTCTGTCTTCATCCAAGTCAGCAGAGTGCTAGTATGGATGCAAGCAAGTTTTCTTCAATTTTGCAATTGCTTCAGGGCGCCGCGTGGCCTGACTCTGTGATGCAACGCAAGTCTGTTTCTTCAGTGGATCCCACGCAGTCGGGGTATTATAACTTTGGGCCCAGGGCCAGCAGTCCAAAGCATTTGACACACGCCACACTCGCAATGCAGGTTTTCGTCCAGCACCTGAACGGAGCCATCAATGAAGGACCTTCTGCCACAGGCGTCCTGGAATGCCATCTGCGTTGGCAGGAACACGCTATCGGATTTTCACAAAGATTCTGGCAACGAAAGGGGTTCGCTGAACCACACCTTCACGGTTGGCACTTTCGCTGGCGGCCAACTCTGGCTTGAAGATGCCGGTGGCACTTCCGAGGCCACGGTTCAGGGCAACATAAAGATCAGGGGCAGGGTCGTAGACACGTTCTGTCGCCCCACTAGTTTTCCTTGCAACCTCTGGCACAGGCGAGAGGTGGGTCGTCACACTTTACACTCTTTCAGGCGGGCAGCCTGCCGTGTTGCTCCCCTTGGGCTTTCCGTGTGCACCTACTGATGTGGCGCAACCGCCACCAACTCAAGCCATCTCGCCCCCTACTTCTGGGTCTAGCCCCACGGTCCCCGACCTTTTGGGTTCTAGTCACGCCTTGCCTGCCGACCCACCTTCTAAACGCTTGAAATCTCAAGCTCATGCCGCGCACCCTCCGCAGCAAGAGAAACCATTGTTTTTGGAAATATGCAGTGGGTCGGGCATGCTATCTTATGTTGCTAAGGAGGCCGGGTACACAGCCGTGCCAATCGATTGGCATCACAACAAACAACGGACGTGTGTGCACACTTTGCAGCTTGACTTGCGCCTCGCCAGCACATGGTCTTTCCTGCGGCGCATTTGCTCAGAGTACCGCGTCGTCTGGATCCACATGGCTCCTCCGTGCGGCAATGCCAGCCGGGCGCGGGAATGCGGGCCCGGCCCTAAGCCACTGCGTTCGCTTCGTCATGTGCGTGGGCTCCCCGGCCTTCCTCCGGTGGAGCAGGCACGTGTGGACAGTGCCAATACCATATATGACAACATGCAAGCCTTTTGTGAATGGTTGCTTGATGCCATGCCGCACGTCCCCTTCTCCGTTGAAAACCCGTTGCATAGTTACCTGTGGCAGCTCCCGAAATGGGCCGAGCTGGTTTCAAAGCACTCCTTCGTGTCATTTGATTCGTGCCTCCACGGGTCGCAACGCAAAAAGGCCACGGCCCTTCTGACAAACTCCGAGCTTTTGCACTGCCTCTCAGGGCCCTGTCCGGGCTGCTCTTCGCATTTGCCGTGGGGCAAGCAGGGCCGTTCTTTTGCGACCGCTGATGAGACGGGCTACCCCAAGCTTCTTCGTGAAAGGATCGTCTCCTGCGTAGATACATCAGCAACAGCACGCGGCATTGCGCCTGACCGCCTGGCTGTCTCCAAGGTCTCCGCGGCACGTGCCGCAGGTCAGGTGCAGCCTCGCGGCAGAAAGTTTCCGCCGATCATTTCTGAGTTTGCTTACACCGTGTCAGTTGGCAGTGCTGCGGCTCCTACTCTCAATTCCAAGCACTGCCTTGTCTCTGCTTGGCAGGGCGTCCCTGCCGGCGCCAAGCTACTCCGGGAGTCAGTTGAGAGGGGAGGTTCGCGACTCCCAGAGGGCAGCAGGTTTTACATTTTTGGCGTGTATCGAACCATGCAAGCTTTCTTGAACGAGGCAAAGTTAGTTGTGCATCCCTTTGATTCTGCCAGATCACTTCCAGACGAACTTCTGCGAGTCTTGTTCGACACCCTCACGAAGAGCCCGGTCGACACGATGAGGCACCGCCTTCTGAAGCTACAGCAGTGGCGCGCCCTCGCCAAGCAGCTTGAACCCGAAGAGGAGAAAATAAGGGCGGCGATGGACCCTTGTGTGCGGAAGGTCCTCGGCCGTAAACGCATCGCACTCATGAAGAGGATCGCCGATGACTTGTCGTGGCCTGACGCTACTCTCTTCGATGACCTTGCTGCCGGTTTTAGGCTTACGGGTTACTTAGGGCGTACGGGGGTCTTCGCTAGTGACGTTAAGCCTGCCACGATGGACCTTGACGAATTCTGGGCAAGTGCTCCCCTTCGGAGGGAAACCCTGCTTGAAAAGGTCAAGGCTCAGAAGGACCATGATTACGCCGAGGAGCTCTGGAACATGACGCTTGAAGAGTCAAACACTTCCGGGAAGTGCTGGCTTGACGGCCCGATCGATGTTGATTCCCTGGGGGACTCCTTTCCTGAAGGTTGGAACTTCTGCAGGCGTTTTGCAGTGTGGCAGGGCAAGTGGCGTGCGATCGACGACTTCTCGGAAGCCGCTGTGAACGCATGCTTCGGGTGTTTCGAGCGTGTCACTCTCAAGGCCCTTGATGAGATCTGCTGGCTGTGCATGCAGGTTTGCCGTGCGGCGAAATCGTCGGGCTTCTTAGATTTCGAGCTAAGCACGGGTGAGAGACTCAAGGGGCGCCTCCATACGGCTTGGAATGACCCCGACCGTGTCCGTCCTCACTGCAAGACTTATGACCTTCAGGCAGCGTACAAACAACTCGCATTGCACCCGAGCGAGAGGTCGAAGTCCATTATCCTGCTCAGGGAGCCCGGCTCCCAGGCCGTCAAGGCCTTTGTGTGCAACACTCTTCCTTTCGGAGCCTCTGCTTCAGTCATGCAGTTCAACAGGGTGGCATTGTTCCTGCAGAGAGTTCTTTGGGACTTGAGGGTGGCTGTGACTTGCTACTACGACGATTTCCCGACTATGACCCCCGCGTTCTTGTCGGGCGGGACAGACAATGCGGTTCATGCCCTCATGGACTTGTTCGGCTTCTCCTTGTCCGAGAAAGAGAAGCCGTTCTCGTGCACTGCGGAAACTTTGGGTGTTGTGCTTGATACCTCTGATCCTGACATGGGTCGAATCTTTGTATCGAACAAGCCTGACCGGGCTACCATGCTCGAGCAGTCCGTAGGCCGCATCCTTGAACAGGGCCAGGTGGACACGAGAGAGCTGCCCTCCCTCCTTGGCAAGCTTCGCTTCGCAGATGCCCAGCTGCTCGGTCGCACGGGGCGTCTGGCCCTGGCTGACCTCAGGCTCTTTGGTGACAAAGGGGGCGTCGTGACCTTGACCGACTCTCAGTCGAATGCCTTGGCTGTCTTGAGGGCCAGACTTCTTGCGAGCAGGCCGCGTGCCATTGTTACGAGCCCTGCTTCGAATCCTGTCCTCATCTTCACAGATGGCGCATGCGACCCCTGTGAGGGCGGCTTTAGCACTGGTGTTGGGGGGGTCCTCTTTATCCCCGGCCAGGGGGTGGCGAGGGCTTTCGGCTGCAGGGTTCCGAGCAAGCTTGTCAAGCAATGGGCCGAGGGTAGGAAACACATTATAGGGCAAGTCGAGCTTTACGCGGTCGTGCTCGCCAGGATCTTGTGGTCGAGTTACATCGACGGCGAAAGATGCATATTTTTCGTTGACCATTCCGGTGTTTTGAGTGCTTGCATCAACTCGAACTCGATCGACGCATCTTGGAGGAGCCTTCTCCTCCACCTGGAGGCTGCCGATGAAGCACGCCCGTGCTTGCCTTGGTTTCATCGCGTTCCAAGCCAGAGTAACATCGCGGACCCGCCATCGAGAGGCAGATGGGATGAGCTGGCATTCCTCGGTCCTGTCACTCGTGACGTGCCGACCTGCTTTGTCACAGGTGCGACTCTTGAAGCAACGTAACGCATGGTCGAGAGGGGGAGATTGGTGGTCACGTTGCACTCCATGTGCGACTCGATTGCTCGGCACGCTTGGTGCCTCTGCTTAAGTGGAGGGGCACTCTTAGTGCCCGGTGCACGCGCTGTGCACTTGTTTTCCGTGAAAACTCCCATGACTCTCGGCTGTGCCGTGAAAAGAAGTGTGAGCGTTTGCATCAATTTCTTATCGCTTGTATATATTTGCCTCAGACCAAGATATGTGGTCAACAATTCTTTATACGAATGGAGTTGGTTATATTTGATCAAGACTTTTATACTTGATTCAAATATATATGATTGTCATGGATGACCGGATCTATAAGCATCTCTTCACGCGTGCGTGTCGATGTTTTATAGATCCTAGGTCAAACGAAATTTTGTGTTACATTCTTTGAACACTTGCAGAAGATATGGCTTTATCGTTCGAAGAAAAGCAACATGACAAAATGGCTCAGAGAACTGAGTCCAAATTTTGATTTGTTGATTTAGGGCTTTGCTTTTACACTACCTTTTTATGAACCATCATTTATACATGCTGTGAACCAGTTAAAAAAATATATCCGCCCGTTGCAGCTTGACCTCTCGAAGGGGCAGGAAGCCCTGAATCGGGCGAGAGTTTTATTTGAAATAGGGGGGCGGGCCGGATGCTTGTGCCTCAGTCTCTCGCTGGGAGGTCTTGATGAAGTGAATCTTCTGTTTGAATGCAACTCGAGCCTTGAGCTTACAGTATCCTGCTCACCTTGCAGAGCGATCTGCGGTTGCCCACTTAGCTGGAGCTTTGTTAGGTTATCGTTGTGTGCTTCTGACATTGACCTGTGGTTCAGGAGCATGCAATCACCTGAAGTGACTGGAGAAGAAGCAGAGGCGCCGACGCCCTCGGATTCGTTCACATCCACTGAGAGCTTTGTGTTACGTCACATGCGTGGATTACAAATCCAGATCTGTCGGCTGCATAGAATGCAGCTCATGCTTGCTGACCGCCTTTTCGATCGCGTGTCGCGGTTGGAGTCTCAGCAGATGCTCGTTTCTTGCTTTCTTCGTTGGAAGTTTTGGGCTGGCCGCAATTCTGATCCGGAGCATGCTCCTCGAGGATTGCTGGAACCTCAGCTTCCGTAGTGAGACTTTGTGTAGCCTGCGGCTTGCTCAGAGGAAGAGAAAGGCGGGCGAGGCAAACTTGCCCTGGGATACGCCTCCGAGATATATCTTCAGGATGCGGGTGGTCGTTACTGATCGCCTAACTAGCTATAAGCCCATCACGCTCGATCTTCAGTTGAGTTGTAATGATATTATCGATCAGGCGAAGTACTTCGTCTCCCAACGTCTCTTCGAGCTTGTTGGTAGCTTTCCTAAGTTGAGCTCTTTTCAATTGGTCCAGGATGGCAGGCACCTGAGTTTTTCAGCTCCAGTGCTAGTGGCCAACACGTTGTCCCCTGTGAGATTCGTTCGCACCGCCTAAAAATCTGAGCGGGGACTTGCTGATTATTGTGCTGCTGTCGAAGTGCGAGGGGCAGCAGACAGGCAGGACGAGAATGCACAGGTCGTCCTTTTTACTCTACGTTTGCAGCCGTTGTGTCTCAGGCAATTGCCAGCAACTCAGTGGGAATGTCGGATAATGCTAACTCGGCAGAGGTTGTAGAGACTGACGCTGAGCTGTCGTCGTGGAGCTCAGCTTTCGACTTCCTGGATGACCCTGTCCAGACGAAACGACCAGACAAGAAGAAGAAAAAGAAGGACGGACGGGACCGGCGAGCCCGCAGGAAGCCATCTAAGAAGGTGGGCAAGAAGCGTGGGAAGAGCTCGGATTCTGCAACGATTGTTGAACTCACTACCGGGCAACAGGTAAGCAGCTCCACGGAGCTTGCGGCGAAAAGTGTGTCAGTGGATGCATCAGGCATGCAGACAGCTTCTGAGGAGCTCCAGACCTCTGGAGAGTTCACCTTCGTTGCGGTGTGGCGGCCGGGGCCCCCACCGCCGCGAGTAGGCAAGACGCGCGCGGTTGCGAAGATGCTGGTCCGCGCGGGCATACGTTGCCCTTGTCATTATGCTCGTGAGTGCCCCGACAGACCTCGGGTCTCGCCGGGATCCCAGACCGCTGTGCCCCTACTTTGGCATGTGGAGAGATGGCGTTGCGAGTATTTTCGGTGTCGCGAGTTTCTGTATGCTCAGGCCGGATGTTGGTGAGAGTTAGAACTTCAACGCCTCGGAGGCGGAGTTTTTCTCGTGCCTATGAGGCGGAAGAAAGTGTGTCGGCAGAAAGCCACAGCATAGCAAGATGCTATTGGGACAAGAGTCCATGTTGAGGTGGGGCGAAGTTCCCCTTTTATGCGCAGAGATGCTGTTGCAGTTGTCGGGCTCATTCTTATTGCGAGTCTAGTTGATAGCCATGACGTCCTCGACTGATTCGTCTGAGTACGAGTCGTCCTCCGGGGAGACCGAAGTCTCGGACAGTTCGTCGCCAGCCAAGCGGTCGAAGCCCCGGAAGCATGTGAAGAAAGCCAAGAAGGGCAAAAGCCACAAGGCCAAGAAGGCCAAGTCTAGCAAACGTGCTAAGACTTCAAAGGCCAAGAAATCCAGGCCAAAGAAGGAGAAGAAGTCCCGAAAGGACTCGGATGCCACCCCGGGTGGTACGGATACCTGGAATAAGGCGACCTCTGGTTGGAGCGGGGGTTACTCTTGGTCGGCTGCAGATTCAGGAGGCCGGTCTTGGAAATCCGATGCTGCATCGTCGAGTGCCGGCTGGGGCCGCAAGTGGAATAAGTGGGAGAAGCCACGCGACCAGTGGCAGCCCAGAGCAGCGGCTAAGGCGCAGATCCTGAGCCCTACTTTTGGCGGGAGCGACACCAGTAAGAAGCAGCGGTGGGAGCATGATGCTGCTCCCGATGCATGGGCGGATTACTGGCAGATTGCCAGGCAAAACAACGAGGAAGATGAGTGGCGAGTTCCGTGCCCGGCAGCGGCTCGGGACGAGGGGATCGTCCCGGTTCTGGCCTCCCCCGATGAGCATGAGATTGCTCGGATTGCCGATGGGATCCTCCTTTCTTTTCAGGTTCCTCGAAGCATGCTGGAAGCGGTGATTCGCGCTATGCTGCAAGCGGAGGTGGCATGCCCCACCGTCGATGGAATCCCCACGATTTTTCAGATCAGGGGAGAAGGCTGGGGTCATTTGGTGATCCCTTTGGTGGAGCAGGGCACGGATGCCCCCCTCGAATCACCCATGCATCGCGAGCTCCTGGAGTCCGAGACGCATCATTATTCTTTTGCACATGGGACCTCGCAGCATGCACTTCCTCTGATTCTGAAGGAGCGGATCATTCGTCCCCAAAACTTCAAGAAGGGCTCCACTCCTACTGTAGGACCTTTTGGGGTGGCGTCACCGGGCCACCTCACGATGAACCCTGATTGCAGTACTTTGAGGACCATTTTGAAGAGGAGCCGCTCGATCAGCAAAGGCCAACAGCCCTCGACCATCCTTTGTGAGGTCAGGACCCCGGAGACCCATGTCAAGTTGGACGCCGGAACTGGCGAACAGCTGCAGATTTCTAGTCGAGATGCAGGACTGGCTGTGGGGCCGGATTCGGCAGTGGCTAGGTCTGACCTGACCTACATCCTGGGTGTGGCCATCACCTACCCCTTTTAGGGACATGGTCGCGAGCTGACCCGAGCACCAGAATCTTCCTGAATGGAAAAACAACCGAGACCGGTTTGAGTCGTTCATGCTCGCTTTTGGTTGTTTGTTATTGCAACGACAGTTTGGCCTCGAAGCCATGGATGTACCAGACACTGATCCTACAGTAGTTGATCATACGCCGATCGGTTCAAGTTTTGACCGTTTTGGTGGGGCGGAGTTCCCTCCAGAGATCTTGCGATGTTTGGCCACGACCCTAGAGCGAGTGAGAATGAAGTGTTCATGCGAAGCATAACCCATGCTCGGTCGTCGTTGCCGCGGCAACCTTGGGAACAGCCGGCTATGCTGTGCATCTTTGATCCATTGAAGGCGGCTTTCCCTCAGGGCTTGAACCTGCCTTATCAGGGACTGGTTGGTTCGTCGCCTGTTCCTCAGACGACAGCACAGCCTTCGGATTCCGGACCGTCTGTGACGAGTGGTTCCCATTGTCAGGCATGGACTCGTGCAGTCAAGGCTAAACGAGGGCCTAGGGCCGCGGATCGTCGCGAAGAGGCGTACCGCCGGGTCCTCACATTGCTGCATGCTTTCTCGAGTTTCTTCGATTTGTGTACCTTGATGGCTGATGATGAGGAGGACGGCCAGGATTCTGTTCAGGCAGTTTTGGCAGGGAAATCACCGAATACCATTTTGAAACATTTGGGTCCGGTTCGTACCTTTTGTGAGTGGCTTTTGAAAGCCAGTTACGCTCCGCCTTTTGCGGAGAAAACTTTATGGTCCTTCATCCATTGTGTCCTCAAGATGCCCAAGACTGCGGCCACCACACTGGACAGTAGTCTGCGTGCTATCAAGTGGAGCTATTATACCTTGGGACTCCGGGTCCAACTAGAGGTTTTCAGCAGCCCTCGAATTCATGGTGTGGTGAAGAAGGCGTTACAGACGAAAAACCCTTGGTGCCCGGCGACGCCCCTCAAAGTATCAGAAGTTCTCCAACTGCACGCTATCTGTTGTGATCCTTCTATTTCTGTCATCGATAGATGCGGGGCGGCGCATTTCCTTGCTATGCTCTATGCGAGGGCCAGAGCATCGGACATCCGGTGCGTAAAACGTATCTTGATAGATGTGCACAACGAGGACTGGAGCTCGGGTTTCATTGAGTTAGGGACGCTCGAACACAAGACGTCTCGGCTGGACACCCAGCGACGTCGTATACTGCCTCTGGTGATTCCTGGCCAGGGTATTGCCAAAACACCTTTTGGTCAGCTCCTCCTGGACATTAGGGCTGAGGCCGGGTTGCCTAATGATCAGGCGGATGTCCCATTTTTGCCGGCGCCTCTGCCGGATGGGTCTTGGTCCTCCGACCC